GCTTTTTTAAGGCATTAATTTTTAAAATTATTAGCTTTGAATTAAAATCCTTGAACAAAATATCCACCAAAAGATTTGTGAATAATAATTAATAAAAATATTATTTGAAAAAAAAATTTACGTTTCATAATTTTTATGGCAAAAACGTGCCAGAGAAAATCAAATAAAAAACGAGAAATCATTGATTAAAATTTCTAAAACAAACGTGAATCGACCCATTGTTTTGTAATTAACAATGCTTATATTCCATGGTCAATATTTCTTTCATTGAAATTATTTTTCACACTAGTTCACTCATGACAAAATTTCTGACGTTAGCTGAACATTTATAAATTAATTTTTGTATGCAAACGTGGTTCAATTCATTGTTCAAATTTTCTTTCAAAATATACGAAATTTCCCACAAAAGTTTTAGATTCATCATGCAAAATATGAATAACCTTTCAAAAATAATTGAGTTTTCAATATTTTAAGACATTTTAGAGCTAAAAGCTTGGAATATTAAGATTAATTATTTTTAAGGATAAATGTTTGCAACTAAACTTTTCTTGTATACATTATGATTTTAGATGAGCTGCATTTGCAAAAGTAAGTATGCATTATTTTTGAATAAAAACTAGGGGTAATCTAAAGTTGTCGTGAGTAATTAAAGCATTGCAATTCAAAGAATAATACATAATTTATATTATAAATTTTTAGACAAAGTTTTTTAGGGAATAGTAGCATAGCATAAGTAATAAATAACATTCAACAAGTTATAAAACATTATCCAATGCCATTATAATATAAATTGCTATGTTAGTTGTGAGTTTTGGATTCGAAACATCTTAAGTAAATCAGAATTATTCTTCCCGCGTTATACCGATACAAAGTCCAATTTAAATTAAAATAAAACTTCACACTTTTTTGATGGATCAGTCTGTATCGATTCCCCGGAAAACATGTTATGATGGTCGAGGCCATGTCAGTAATTACTCTTTCTAGAAAATGAGTACAATTAACTGTTATTGTATGCTCAGATCGATGACATTAAAATTAATTGTTATGAAAATTTTAAATTGGGAGGCACTAAGAAACATTCGAAACTTCTGTTCAATACTCATTTTTCCTACCGAATGCCAACTTAGTATTTGAGTTCAAGTGAAGCGATCTTTGTTTCAGCTTTAAACTGCAATATCAGCAAATGGTTGAATAATTAGAGAATTTAATGTTCATTTAATTTTTCTATTTTGTTGATAATTTATTATTAACCTTTTAACCTATAATTTTATTATTTATGAAAAAAAAAATAAAAAATGGGTGATTTCAAAATATTAAATAAAAAAAAATTATTAATAATAAATTAATTTTTTTTTTGTTCTTATCAATGCTGTGAATGCGAAATGAAATTTAAACAATTTTTCATCCACAGTCCATTTGAAATTTTTTAAGCAATTATTATAGTTTTATTTTTTTTTTCTTTCATATAATGAAAAATTATTATATTTATCAACTATTAACAACAATAATAAATGAATTTTGAAAATTTCACCTTGGCAGGCATTTATTTATTATATAACAACTATACGTATGCATAAATTATGCGACTTAACTGGAACGTGGTAGCTTAATTATTAATTTCATCAAAAAATTTCATCATAATAAATTCTCATTGTTCTCATTGTTTTTGCGTGTATGACGTGTTCGATTATATATTTTTTTGTACACCTTTTTATCTAGAGCTTCTATTTCTCGTTAGTTTTACTCAAGTATCGGAAATGTCGAGAAATCTACGATATAAATTTCAAGTATAAGGAAGTCGAAACGAAATCTAATATTTACTGTGGTAAATCATTCACATTTTCAAGGAGGATATGGCAATTGAAAAAAGAGAAATATTAAAAATTGCATGAGTATCTAAATGTTACGCAGAGATCTTTTCTATTCTAACTGATGGTTACCTGGATTCCTTGCGAATAATATGCAATAATTATACTGTAATCTTTAAATAGTAACGTATTTCACATCAAATTCTTTTGACTTTAAAACAAACGGCCAACCAAAAATCATATTTTTCCGATAAATCTCGAGACAGAAGGACTCCTACGTATTTCTATATATTGAATAAGGAAAATTAATGTGAATTCAATACGAATTACAATTGTTATACGTAATAATCCTCTGACATTTAAAATATATATATAAAAAAATTGTAAATTCCAATGTTTCACTTTTATGAAGTTACGCAAAACGTGTATGTATGCAAATATGGAAAATTTTTTTATTGTTTTATTTTTGAATTTTGCATTTCAATTGGATTATGTTTAATGTAATTTATTTTAAAATTTTATTGTTTCACTTCTGAGAATTTTGTAAACGCCAATTACAAAATTTAATGAAATAACCGTATGTTAGTCGAGATTTTAATCATAGTATTGCCATATTCATAGTATTATAGTATTAAAATATGGCTAGAAGATTATCGTAAAAACATTTCTGTTTTCGATTTGAGAGCATCCAAACAATACACAGTTTTATTAGAAATTTTCCCGATTTTTAGCTGTATACCATTGAATTTTAAACATAATTTGTATATACATAGTATAACAGTTTCATTATATAGAGATGCGTGATTAGGGACACATATTTCAGTTACGAAAAACAAAACAACTTTGCAAATATAACAAAATATTTGCTCCGAATATTATGTATATTAAATATAATATGAAATATATATATAACTATAACAAATAGTTATACACTATATTATTAAATCTTTATCATGCCGAATATGATTCCATCGTTAAATTAGCAAAGAAAATTTTACATATTTCAATTTCATTATTGGTCCGATTTCTAGACCTTTCCGCAACAAAGTTGTTACTTTGAAGGAAACAGTTGAATAGCGATATTTTTTTATTGTACAGAACCTACCAATATTCTTTTTTTTGAAAAGATGCATTGTAATATTATTTTCATAAATTGTACAAATAAATTGTATTTTCAGAAAAATATTATAAGTATAACAATACGAAAGTAAAAATTGAATATTTTATATTTTTTAAATAAATTTTTAATTTTTTTTACACCTTTGGTTTTTTCATGTGTTTTTTTTTCACATAAATATTTCATTTGAAAAAAATTGTATAATTATTTATGGTTATTATTGGTTCTATTAAAAAAGATTTTTAAAGTTCAACATAATATATTTTTGATATATTTTTTGACTGAATGAAATACTCTAAAAAATTCGAAAACTTAGCACCGAAAACAGCAATCTGATAAAAAAAGCATTTTTCTCTTATTTATTCATCAACAATCTGAACTTTAGCGGGTCGGTCCTCTTTCAATAGCTTACCGAAAATGCAATTAGTTTTTGTTTTTCTAGAGAAAATGTTTAATGCCATTTAGACTTATAAAAATTTCTTAGAAAGGTAGTGACATGCTTCTTCTGTAGTAAAATAAGTAGTCAAACATTACAATGATAAAATTCCGTTGAAACTAACAGTTATTTCTAACCGGGTTTTCTTCCAAATTTTTAATACATGTTTTAAATTGAATGAACCTAAATTTCATCATTGATAAGAGAATAAGAGAATGAACCTGGATAACATCATAATAACATCTTCCAAGAGGCGGAAAAAAATATTGGTATTGAAATTCTGTCTTCTTTCATCACCTCTCAAAATTTACAGAATAAAATGTTCGGAATTCTATATTTCCCACGTACTGCAAACTTTTTTAAACTTCTGTGAAAGCAGAAAGTTAACAGTATATCAAAAAAAAAATTGTTTATCTTAATTTTCTCAATAAATCGTAGAATTTAGTCATTGTATTTATATGTTTACAATTTTGTTCCTTCCCCTGAAAGTATGCAATTTTTTATTGTATAAAATAATTTTGGTATAATATGAATGAGAATATTATTGAAAAGTAACAGAACACTGTGTAAAAGAAATAAGCTCACCTGTACAAGTTTGTTCAGAAATAGTTAAGGTATAGTTTTAATTTACAAGCGAATTAATTGTTCAGTAAATAATTAAAACAAGAAAATTAAATAGTTTGCGAGGAGCACTTTTTTTATTGCCTTCTTAAGAAACTCTGAAATAAACAAACTTTTATAGTATGGTGTTCACGCATCTCAATACAAGTTAATATGTGGTTCTTCATGAATGAAAATTATTATAATTATGCTTTATATGAATTAAATTGTTTAAATTATTATTTTCTATAAAATTCGGGTTTTTGTAATGAATTCGCTTAAAGTTTATTGTAACATAAGTGACACTAATGGAACCTAGTGGTCCACGACACCAGCTCAACTCAACTTCAATTAAACTTTGAATATTTGTAACTCTTTACGCATTAGATTATATTTTGAAGTATTGTGATGAGTTTTCGTTCTGCAAATTAGTAATTGCATTTTTATAGTACCCGACGGTTTTCTATGAGAAAATAATCACGGTACAATTGATTCAAATTCTATAATTCTTCATTATTCTATGATTCTTCATTATAACCTCACTCTAGTGTAAAGTAATGCAAATATTATTTTTTTATTTTAATCTATATAATGACTGGTTAAAGTCTAATTGGAACTCAAAATGATACATTTGTGTATTAACTTGAAGCTTTTTATTTTGTAGATTGCAAATTATGCAAACATAGGTTAGACTAAATTGTACTAATAAAAAATTTTATTATAAATGGGAGAAAATATAAATTTATTTTGATTTTCATCATTAGTTTTCTTTACAATCAAAAATTTTTGTATAATTAAATATGGACAGTATTTTGGGGTCCTATTTCGACCCAAGGAGAAAAAATTACTGCAATTTAAGGAATTTTCCGGATGTTGTTAATCATTTATTACAAATAACGCTACATATATAATTATTTTATCTAACTTAAAGACATATTTACATGAAAAATCCTTTATTACAGTTTTTGATTAGTAAGTTTTTGAAAATTATTAAGTTTATTGAGAAAAAATATAAAAGTTTTGAACAATTTCTACTTACCAAGAGGACAAATTATTTGCTGTAGAATGAAAACAAAAATATTTTTTTGAAATTACTTTTCACTTATTTACTTAACTCTTTTCTTTTATTTAAGTATAATAATTAATTAAATATTGAAATTTCTACATTAATAATAATCTGAATGCTTAACACAATTTAATTATAGACACAATATTATAATAAATTTTCTTTTCTTCTTAAAGTAAAATTTTCTTCTTCTAAATTTATTTAATGAACAATAAACTATAATTATTCTATTTATATAAAATTTATTTATGATTATTTTAAAAATATTTAAATCACAATTAATTTATCATTAATAATTATAAGATATAAAATTAAATTTTTATTATGCAAGATATTTTTCACATAGAAATGAAATTACACCTACTATTTGTATATTAAAATATTTTAATAATAATTTTTCATATTAAATTTATAAAACAAATTGTAGATTTTTTATATTTTCTATTTTAAATAGTAAAAGATGTCCTTTTTAATTTAAAATTCTTAATTTTCCTTTAATAATTAAATACATCTATACATTCACAAATTAATAAAAGTTTTATATTTTTCTTTGGTTTTTCTTCTTTTTTAATATTATTTTTTTTTATTTTTATTATTGGTATGGCCAAAGTATAAAATATTCGTTGAAATAACTTGAGAAAATTTCTTGTACAAACTTTGGAATTAAAAATTTCTTATTTCACTTTACCGACTTTTCTTTTTATTCTTTTTTTAAGGTTTTAATTAAGAAAAGGAAGAAAATAAAAAAAAAAAACTTTTTTAAAAATAATTTTATTTTTTTTTTTAAATAAATACGGTATTTTTTATATTCTTATATCTAGAAATTATTATTAATATTCATTAAAAAAATGTGTACATTCGTACTGTTGTTTGTGTATTAAAAAACACACAGTTTCATCAAATTATAATATCCTTTTTCTTTCGGTTTACTTTTGTTTTTGTTTTTTTTTTTATTTTATTTCTCGTTCTTTTAATATTATTTGCTATTATTTGTTCTTTGAAATTCGCACGAAAAATAACATAGCATTTCTTTACTGTACTGTATATACGAGCAGTAGAATAATAATATTTAGAGATAAAGAGAAGATAAAAAGTGCATAGTCAGAGAGAAAGAGAGAGAGAGAAATTGCGGCGAGAGCAAAAAATAAGAGAAATGAAAAAATATGTTTTTAATGTTGATGATGATAACAACAATGTTGTTGAGATATTGTTGATGATTATGGTTGATGATATTGATATTGATTAACAAATTTTGTTTTTACTTTGTAAAATTTTTTTATTTATTTATTTTGCTATTTTCATTTTTATGTTTTCATTATTTACTCATCTTGTATGCCGTTATTTTATTTATCTTATTATTTTGCTTGTATTACTCAATAGTATGTATAAATGTAAAATTAAGAATAATTTTTTTGAACTTACAATTTACATAACTACTTAACGTAGCTATATACGAGTACCAATACTTTTCGTATTTCAATATCAAATAATATAGAATCCTTATATTTGAGGAAGCCTATATTCTTTTTTGGAGCTTTATTTATTCTAAGATTTTTGAGTAATTGTTTGTGTTTTCTTGTTTATTTCAATGTTTTCTCAATTGAATTCCAACAACAACAATAAATCTTTTATTTTATAATTTTAATATTTCTTTTATATTAGAAAAAAATTTTTAGGTTCTTAATAATAATTATTGTTATGATCCTTTTATTTTATTATTTTTGAATATTCAATTAATATAAGCAAACACTTGTATAGTAAGAATAAAGGACCGTTATTTTTAGTAATTAAATAAAATTTAATGTTGCTTTTTTTTTATATTTCAAAGAAATTTTAATAATATTTATATTATATTAGGCTAATCACTTTCACAAACCGCGTATAATAATTATAAATTATTAAACTGTATTAAATAATCTATGATTTTTTTTATTATTAGCTTTGAATTTGCAATTTATGAATAAATTTCATTTATTTTTTTCTTTATGTTTTCAATTTATACAATTACTTTTTTTCCTCTTTTAATTGAAATTATCGTCTTTCTAGCTAGATTGAATAATAGATTTTTAAATAAAATTAATAAAAAAATATTTTTATATACAAGACAAAAATTGATTTAAAATTTATAAGAATATAATATTATTTTTGAAAAACTAATAAAATTTAATACTGGTTCTACCTAATTCATATTTACTAAACTAAATTCAGTTATTATTCTAAATTAAATAAATTTCGATTTTTGTAAAAAACTGGCAAGATGACAATAAGAAGTTACAATTGTTCCAAAATTAAATAAACCCCTGAGTTCTATGATGTTATTGTTACGATTTTTAAATTTAAATCAGTAAGTTGCGTTTAATTTGCAGTTAAGTCAACCACTTAGATTTATTTTAAATCGAGTTCAAAAACGTTATTAGTCCGATATGGTGCTCAAATAGTAATAGTGATCATTCTGGCGTAGTAACTTATAAAACATTTTTTGCAAATTTTCATATGTTGCTCCTTCTGCCTATAAGTAGAAACTGTAATTAGTCTTGTGCGGTGTTCCGATTGTCAGAATTTTTCAATAAAAACCAAATACCGTTAAATATAAATCCTCATACAATTAAAAGTTTAAGATTTTAGTAAAACAAGTTTTATATTAAAACTCCATTTCTTGTATTTTATTGAGAAAAATTTCATAAACTCTAATAAAATATAGCTTGTAGAAATATATTTAATAAGGACTTTTAGACATTATTATTCAGTTTGTAATACAAGTTTGTCTTAATCATATACGTAGATAGTATGCTTTTATTAAACGTGATTTAATTTTATTCTGATTTTAATTTGAAGAATTAATTGAATCGAAATAGAACTATTCGAATAAAAATCTTAGCATCAAATTTTGTTGGATGATAGATTGGAATATAAAATTTGAACATTCTTATGTTCTAATTTTATCATAAATTAATTTAGATGGTTTTCTGCTATTGCTCTTAAATAAGAATCTTAATTGTAGCACACTTTTTATTAATCGTAAATTATCTTCTTTTCATCTTCATTATACAATAATCTATTAATATTAAATACATAAACTATTATACAAGTATAATTAATTAATTATTATAAAATTCATTACAAAAATATGATTTTTTCTTTGTACACTCAAAGAAATTCTCAAGTAAAAATATTAAAGAGAAATTGCAAGTTATATGTGTTGTGTTTTTATTATATAAATATATAAGAGTAAACTAGAGTAAGAGAAATCAAGAGAATGAGAGAGCTTTTATTACGTTATATATATATATATATTATATAGAGTTATGTACACATAAGCACACATAAAAAAATATATTCATAATTTATAAGTATTTACAGATACGTAATATATTTGTTTTTCTTTTCTTATACATATGGTAGAAAAAATCATGAAATTGAATCTTAATAAGAGTTTTAAAATTTTTTTTTTATAAATATTTTGCAAATATTTAAAAATATAACCTAGGTAAGTACTCTATAGTCACATATATGTATGCATACTTAGATTAATATTGATATACATGTATATATAAAAGAAAATGAAATTAAGTGATATGAAAAACACATATATCTACATTACATACCAAGATTAATTATAGTTATAAATATGTTATAATTATAGTCAAAGGATAATAATAAATAATTAAGGGTATATTTATTTTATGAAAAAAAAAATTATGTTATAAAAAAAATAATAATAATTTTAACCTCCTTTTTTCTTATCTTATTTTTATTTATATAACATATATAATATAGATAATATATATATATACATCAGTTGTTCCAAACTAAAATCGTTTAAGTCACATTTAGAACATTTTAGTTTTATTTCAAATTCTGATTTTTTATTATTCAAAATCTTCTTTCTGTTAAATTATTGACTAAAATATCAGCATTAATTCCGATAATCTAATTTTCGTTATTTGTTAATTGAAACTTTGTTAATTGCCTTAACAAAGTCAAACTAAATTGCCTCGTATTTGGACTGTTGAAGATTTTTTTAAATAAATTCAAATTATCGTTTCTTACATTTTCATCTATGTTTTGCAAAAAATTTTACTAATTTTACTGTTTGAGAACTCAATTTCAATTCACTTTCGATTTCAAAAAAATCTAGCATTTTCAATATATCAAAATTTTTCCATAAAGTCACAGATATTAAATTACACACATATTTGATATTACTACAATATTATTATCCTTTTAATGATATCTCTCCATGTGATAAAAATAATTATTAAAAAATATAATATAAGTGTATGAAAAATTTAATATTAAAATATAAAACAGAGAACAATTGATATTAAAATCATCTCCTTTCTTAGCTTGGAACATAAAATGAAAAATTGAAACCATGATAATTGAAAGGAGTATTTTATTTTAATAAACCATAGACAATATAAAGAACAACAATGATGAAAAGTAAAATGTCAATGAAAAATTATTTTTTGTATGAGGAAAAAAATCCATATGTGTATAGGTATGTGTTCATGAAAATATCAATATTACTAACACATTTTTATATAGTATTCCAAAATCTAAACGAAAATAAATGAAGAAAAAAAAATTACTATACCTAAAAATTTGTTGAAAAGGATATTTTGTGTAACCGCACACTTTTTTTTTCGTTTTTCTTTACATTTTTATATAGGCTAAAATTCTTTTCGGTATAAGCACCTATTAATAATAAACATCTTTCTCTTCTCTATAGTTTTTTAGTTTAAAAATTTAGTTCAAGGATAATATTACAAAATAAGAATAATGAAACCTAAAAATTTTGAATAGAATGTTGAATATTGTAATTTAGATTTTAAAATTAAAGTTTCAATTTAGTATAGGAAAACTTTGAAAATTTTGAACATTCAAAAATTTAATAAAAAAAATGTCCTTTTGTTTTCTAATGCAGAAAACAAAAATATTCTTAAACTAGATATTTAAAACGAGAAGAAGAGAAATGAAAAACAAAAAAAAACAAAATCAAGAAAACAAAAAAAAATTAAATTCACTATAATTTTGTTAGTCGTCTTCCTTGTGTGTAATACCATATGTGTTCAAAAATGTCAAAATTGACATTTAAATTTCCTGCTTAATATTAGCTATTCCTTTTTATTTTTATTTTCTGTATTGTATTTTTGTTTTTTTTGTTATGATTATTCAGTTTTTTAGATTCTAGTAACCTTATTTCATATTGTCCTTTTGTTTCTTTTAAAGATTCTCAAATATTCTTTATCACTAAAATATTGTAAAATTTAAATTTTTTAGTTGAAATTTTAGACCACTTTTTTTATTAAGCACACTGAAAAAAATCAAGTTAAAGCATTTCTCCAATAAAATTTTTAATATTTTAATCCGAAAATAATTTTTAG